GTGTAATGTTTTGTTATAGTTAGGGGTAAAAGGTTCTACCACCATCTAAAGGTCCTCCTCTGGCACTGAGTGTATTAAAGTTGCATTGTGATGTTTTTATTCTTCATAAAAGACCTCCACAGCCTCATCACTAGCCACTCCAACTCTGCAGTTACATAAATTTGAACTCCATAGGACACAAACCTGATAACTGGTGGATGTAACAATTGTCACCTTGACAGATGAATGACACATCTCCTTGTTTTCCCATTGAACATCTTTGCTTTTATCATTTTTCTTCTTTTGTCTCATCTCTGCTCTCATCCTTCTTCATTTCTCCATTTCTCACTGGGTCTCACTTGTATTCTTATCTAGCTCTAATGAACCCTTTCTGATGTTTTACATTTTTTCCTCCCAATTCTCTTCAATTCTCTTATTCTCTGTCGCTTTCTTCTCGGTGCTTTTGTCTTCTCGTCCTCTGGGTTATTTGATGACGTGATACAGCATCATGTCTCAGGCCACTGGAGGACTTTTAGAAGTCAACAAGAGAGAGACCGTCCTGGTCTCCCGAGTTCCCCACATGCACACAGGCTCGCATGCACATAGATTCAGTAACACACACACACACACACACACACCAGTGTTAAGCTCTCAAAGAACTTAACTCCCAGAAGGCAAAATACCACAAAGAGAAAAACAAAGAGATAGAATATTTTCCCTCTATCCTCTACTTTCCATCTTTTTTCTCTCTTCCTCTCCTTTAGCTGTAGTCTGCAGCAGTCCTCTGCAGTGCAGTACAAACATACAGACTGATCAAAGAGTCTGGGGTTTTAGAGGCAAGGGACAAGTTGGACGTGTGTGGAAGGCAAGATGAGAACAGAAGACAGGGGAACAGAGCTGTCATCAAGCGCTCTATCAAACTCGGTGGGGATTGTATCTCAGTGGCACTCTCATGGAGTTTACCTGGAGGGACATCACTTCATTTTTCAATGTCTAAATTTAGGGGACATTCCAAGAAACAAAAGCAAAAGGGGAGGGAGCGGTTAAGGAATTCATTCTTTTAAACTGTGCTTCACAACCAAAGACAAAATTCTTTCTCAACTGATGCCAAAGTTGAGTGAGCATAAGTCACATTTTATATTTGATGATTTATCACATTCTCAATGAACAACTGTTACAATAATAATTTGTCTTTCAAAAAGCCTAAAGCCAACATGATACTAATCTAAAGGGAAATTAAAATTACATTAATCTAAGAAGACTGCGCCAGACAAAACTTAATTCCGTTTCTAACCAACATCATAACTAAAAGGACTTTTTTCCTTATTCGGATGCCGGTGTTTGATGTGCACAATGAAAACCTTGTGAATTTATGTGTAAGGAAATCAAATGAGTGTTTAAATGAGGGATTTCTGCAAACCATGAGGTAACAATGCCCTCTTCTGGATCCAAAGGGAACTGCATTGGAGGCTTGTGTCATAGTTGTGTGTGAGTGGCACTGCAGCTGCTGCTGGCAGCAACATGAGTGTGTGTGTGTGTGTCTGTGTGTAGAGCTGTTCCTTTTGCCAAGACTGTGCGTCCACATGGGGACCAATGTTCGGTCCTAATGAGGTCAAATGTCATTTTTGGTATGATGAGAGTAAAGGGTAGTATAGAACTGAGATCAAGAGAAACAATTCTAATGTGGTGAGTGTGAGCACATCATGAGTGCACACACACAAGGTTAGCAATATCGACCTTTGAGTGTGTTTCTTGCATTTGGAATCACGAGCCAATGCTTTATAAAACATATAACCATCTTATTTACTTTTAGTTAAGGTAATTACTTTATTACCTGTCCTATGATCAACATTTCAATAACATTTGAATAATTGCAATCAGCATAAATCTGACAATTTGATTTAAGTTGTTTTCTATTCTAGGCATACAACAAACAGCACCGTTTGTGTAATGTATAAATGTGCTTTTTTGTTTTTTTATTTAATTCTTTAAGATGAAAGAATTACAGCCCTGTTAAACATGATTGTTGCTCTTCTTTCTCAGCCTCTTCTCTCGGAGAAGACAGTCTGTCTGTAAGCGGCAATATCTTTGTTCATAAATTTGTCAGTTTTCAAACACGCCATCTGTTTGCCTCTTTAAGGTAAAATTAGACGGTAAAATATGCAAGACTACAAAAAGAAACTAACAATGTACAGTCCAGTGTAGACAAGCTCTCTCAGACTTTTTTTTACATGTGTTTGGAAATATACCAGAAAAACAATTTTCAGCTTGTGAGTTCTGACTACTGATGGATCTGTTAGTTCAATTAAAAATTACACGGATTGTTTTCTCTGGTAAGATGGTTTAAGATACTTTAGCTGTGGACTGTTCTTTTTATGTTTATATACTATATTATGTATTAGGGCTTACATCATACTATATACTAAATGTACAGTCCTGGGACAGTTTACCTTTTTAGATTACAAGTCCATGTGCATTACCTGTAAACATGCACAACCAGGGAGGAACCTCAAGTTGGCATATGTGGAAAAATATTCTACGACATATCTGGAAAATGAGTTCAGAATAACTAACATAACCCTTATATGTATGTAGTAAGAAAATACATTTCTATTGGATGACATAATGTGGGGCTCTGTGTGGGCAGACTGCAGAGATAAAAGACTCAAAATGTAAACAGATGCATATTTTTCTTATTTTTTCATACAGCAGAGCACTGATAGCAAACAAGGCGGTCTAATTCTTTGTTGTACTAAATACTGAATGTATTTTCCCATACGCATATGCATCAGGAGTGCTGGCCACAAATCAATGGATTGCAAAACAAAAAAGAAAACAAAGTAAAGGACAATATCACCATTCTCCCATTCCTAATTCTCCTGAAAAATGACTGTTCTAGTCACACATGGGAAGAATTGGACAAAACAACATCCGTGGGCTGCAATACTTGCTAAACAGCCAGTGCCTGACATATGTCTACGTCACTAGAAACACATAGATAAAATGTTAAAGAGGCAGCTACAGTAAAGCAATGTTTCCCTGGAGTGGCCAACAACCACACGTTACAAAAGTAATACTCCACTTTCAAGGAAGGGCTTAAAGAAGAAGCCCTCCTTGGTTCTTTTGTTGAAACTTCAATTGATATCTTGCACTAATATGCACAAGTGTGCAGGACAATGTAAGTCCCTTCCAATATAAGCTGAGCATCCATATGACTGTGAATGGGCAAAATCCTTGCTGCCTGGCAATAAAGGGACTCTATTCATAGCTGAAATTCTCCCCCTGCTTTATTGTGAAAGTTTTATTTTCGAAATCTATTATGATAAGGTGTAGATCTTCTGGCAAAAACATTAAATCAGTTCACATTTTACCACGACTAATAGCAGATTAAACAGGATTCTTTTCTGGTCAGCTTTGTTACATTTGCGTCAGCATTGAAGTTCACACTTTGGAGATTCAGAAAATAGATTCTGCAAAAAGTAGTTTCGCTGCACTTGGAAAAGAATATCATAAATAGACATAAATAGAGACGATTGCTTCAGTACTGAAGTCAGATGGAGGGTTTTATTGATCTGAATTGACCGAACTTGCTCTCATCACTTTTAGACACTCTTTTTAAGAGCCTTCAAAAATGCTACAACAGACTATATTTTTAAGCACCTTCAAAAATGCTACAACAGACTATAACATTCCAACATACAAAAGTATTAAAAGGAAAAAAATCGTTAAAGAACAGCAGTATTACAGGAAATTGAGCCTCCATGAAAGCTGAAAGAGCGGTTGACTCAAGTCAACTCAAGTTACTTTTAGAACTTTTAAGATGAGGAAGTTGTAAATAAGACATTGATTTGACTCTGGAGAAAAAGTCCATGTCTACTAAGTGGAAGATAAGGAGTTTAGTCTTCAAAACATCTGCATAACAAAGTGCCCATGGAAACAGGCCTGCACTCCACATTGCCTTGAGCATGCTCATCAGTATGTGATGATCAGTAAGTGAGAGAAACTGAATGAGAGGCACTATGTGAATGAAGGAATGAAAAATGCATTGCAAAGCACTTCGAAGAAAATAGTCAAGGCTAAAAATTTGCAATTTAAGCACAAAACATTTATCCTTTTAAGAATGGTAAACAGATTCACACTCTAACTAAGAATCATGCTAAAATGCTGTGATTTGCATGCCTTTTCCAGGGAAGGATTTTTGGAATGGTTATATTGAATTCAGGAGAGATATTAACAATATAAGAGTCAGTTAATGACACGCAATACATATTTTCAGGTCACATGGGCGGACAAAAAGAAATTCTAATATTATTATGTTAATGTTTAAAAGGGAAGTGAAATTGCTTTCTCTGTTTCTGAGGTCATTATTGTTGCATAAACACTGTCAATTTGATACCATTTTATGAACAAATTAACTTGCAAAAAGCTCATACACAAGGGAGGTAATAGTTTAATTAACTTACGCAGAGTGTACCAACATTTATTCACATTATTTGGGCATGTAAATTATACTCATTCATCCAATTTGACTTTTAAGACAACATTCACACTCAGCAGTCATTGCTGACAGATTTGGGGTGAGCACAAAACCAGAGTAAGTGTCCAAGTTTTAGAGAAATGGTCAAATGGACGTTTAAAAAAATCCAACCAGTGTAATGTTGGCATCATGTGTATAAGAGCCATTAATCAAACTCTGATATGAAAGCATGAAAACAAATGCTTTAATCTATATCCTATGCTTATAATTACATAGTTATTAGCCTCAACTCAACTCAAATATACAAGAAAGCAATGATATGACAGCCCAGTGAAGCAAGACAAGCATTGACTACAGTGTGCTTTGTTTTTGTCAAACATCTGATAGCAACACCAACATCCTGTAAACATGAATGAACTGGGTTTCTCTGTTTCTATACAGTATGTAAAATACACACAGATTAAAATAGATACAGGCCAATTTGTAAGCGTTTGTATATTTAGAAAAGGAAAATACCACTCATTAATTTCCCAAGCTCACTTTTTCTGAAGTAAATTATGCTAATGGTTTCCATGTTTTACTTAGTCGTTAGTAGGGTGGCCAGACTCTGTGGATACATGGTGTACTGGAGGCACACATCTACTGAAAAAGTGTTGTTGAAAAGCATAGAGTGGCTCAAACTCCTCCTAAAGTCTTCAAAACTCCTCATTCCAATGCACTTTTAATTGTTTTCCCCTCCTATCTTGGTATAACAATTCACCCCTCTCTCACCCCACATTTTCTATTTAGTTTCTCACATCAATCAATTTATGAGAGATGATTAAATTATTCTCTCAAAAGTAAATATATATTTCTATCTGCCCTCCATCCAAACCCCCTCAATAACCTTCCTCTCTCTTTATCTACTTTTTGCCAGGCATACTTTGTTTTTCAGCCTTCATCTTTGCCTTAAATGAAATGTTGGAATAAAAGAAATAAAAACTGAGTAATAAGGAGATGTTTTAGTGCTTGCCTCTTTTATATCTTTCTGTTCTTCTTCCCACCCAGGAAGGAAGGAATGGGTTTAAGAGGAAGGCTGCAAGAAGGCTGGGTTCTGTTTAATATTTTGTTTGTCTGCACGGCAACCTGTTTTTTGCCAATGAGGATCCGCTCACTCAAACAAGGAGGATACATTATCACACAGTGTTCCTTTTCCTTCAGGTAATCAGTCATACCTGCCATGTTAATGTGAAAGTAGGCTTATTTATTGTGTTGTCTAATTTTGTTTACAGAGTAGGCTAAGTATTGTGTAAAACATATATCTGTTAATAGATTTACACATTTATACAGTGTGTGCGTAAACGCAGCTATTGACTAAACAAACACACTAAAACAAACCATCTACAACACATATTGGTTTTTCTTACCTTCCTTTGGTGGGAACACCCTCCATCCTATCAGATGTCCTCTGTTTTGAATTCCTGCTATCGATCGGTAACGAACCGACAACCATAAAACCAACCGTCATAAGGCTATAGACACTGCCAGCCAAGTCCTGCCTCTTAAACAAAATTACACATTTTTTTGCATTACAGCTCAAAAATACGGGGCAGAATTTATGCTCTTTTTTTATACTATTGCACTCTGTTGTTTTATTTTTCCTCCCCCTAGAGACATATCGTTGTTTTCCATCTGATCGGGAGGAGGAGGGAAATGTCTTCGGCCGTGCGGGAGAGGAGGCCCGGCGTTCAGCAGCTGCTGCTGATGCTGCTGTCGCTCTCTGGTAAGACACAAAAACAAAACAAAACAGCCAACGCGCTCAATGTGATGAAATGCCGATTAAAGGGACAATGGGCTGATGTGTCCTTTTTCATTTGCATATCCAAGTCCGTGCGGCACCCCGAACTGTGCAGGGAGAGCAAATGGAGGAGGTGTGTTTAGAGGATGTAGAACAGGCGTGATGTCGATTTGATTGTTTAACCACATTTTTTAATCTGAAAGGCCTCTCATCAAAACTACACTTGTGTGGCTTTTGCTCCACCACAAAATTCCCATTACAGCGATCAATGATTGGTTTGGTTTATTCTACCCAATTATCTCTAGCGACCGCATCCTGTCTCTGTTAAGCCATTTTGCAGCAGCATTGGTGTCCTATGTTGCACATCGTCGAAATGGGATTATGACGCACAATATACCGAATTCTTGTGTCGTAATCTGCGTTTTATCATAATGACTTTTGTGAGAGAGCTCTCGCAAAGCCGAACGATGGATAGAAACAGATCTTTTAATAGGGTGCTAACAATCTGGTGCTGATACAAATAATCCTTGTGGCTGCCTCAGCAACAGACAGATGTCCACTGGTAAATAAACTTACATGAGCACGTGAATGTATGAAACGGAAAGTAACATGAAACACATCTGATTACACATGATTTCACATAGTGTTATGCATAGGTAATCACCCATCACAAAATATACTGGGAATAATCAAATAGCCCTCACAGATAAAAGCTAACTTCCCACCACAGCTCCAGTCCATTGTGTACTTCATCACTGAAAAAAATAAACAGAAACCAATACTTTCACTGATGTGATCACTCTTAACCTACAGGAAACAAGATTTAGAGAGGGCCATGTTATAATCTTCTACATTGTCCAACTCCAAACCTTTAAAAATCTAACTAAGTAAAGCAGGTCTATCTTTCATTCAGAATTCTATATAAAGATTTCTACATGCAGACCTTTGAGTATCCGCATCTGTAGAGGGCAGAGGAGGGTTTTTGTCACCAAGATGTGTTTTGAACTTTTTTTTTTTATCCCTTTAAATAAAGCTCAATAGAGACTGGACATTTTTATTAATGCACTCTTATTTAAATCAGTGCAAGGATAAAGGGTGGATTAAATGCCTGTATAGATAGGTACTGGTGAAAGGTGAAATGAACTGCAATGATTTAAAAATGTATTAAAGTTCTTTTATCACTGCAAGCCTACCGTTGCCGCAACTAAACTGCAAATGCTCCTGTATGTTTTTTGATGCAGCTCATTTCTAAAGAGCGTAAACAATACAAAAGTGACACAGTCCTTTTCCAATTCATTTTTTGACATCATAACAGTAAAAGTGCATCACATAAATACATCTGACATAGATCCCTCACTTTTTCATACCCTCCCAAATATAATGTGAAGCATAATCTTAATTTCTAATTAATTTCTATTTGCTGCATTTTATTCTAAAAAGGTATGGAGAGTAGTTTCATCTGATTTTTTTATCTGTAGTTATTTTACTGTGATTTCACACTCCCTCAAAATGAGTTTATCAGCAACTGTATTTACAGTTTTAACAGAGAACACTAGAGGGCAGCAGAGCAGTGTGATGAACAGGCCCTGGTGTGGAATTCTACAGGGTTCCTATGCAGTTTGAACAAATGCACAAAACAAAGAGTGACCACAAACCGGAAGTGGCTAAACCTGGAGTGAGAGGGTGGTTTAGTTGGTTAAAGGGCCTGTTTAGTAAACAGGAGATTATGGCTTTGAATTGCAGAAGTGGCTTCTCCTCACACATTTTTTGTGTGCTGAAATGAACACGTCACGTCATTCCTCAGGACTGAACATTCACCAAACCGGGGATGGGTAACTCCCGTCCTCAATGGGCTGCTTTCCTCCAGGTGTTTATGTCTTTTCCCGCTTCAAAACACCTGATTCAGATTGAACATATGTGTAAAATATTGTTCATTTTAGCACACCACTCTAGTCTGATATTGATTTGAATAAAAGAATCAGAGCTGAAGCAGAGAAATGTATAAAACCTACAGGACGATGGCCCTTGAGGCCCAGATATGTTCACCGTTGCTTTATCATCACTTATATAGAAATAGAAATATAGAAATCCAAATGCCTAAGACACTTCACACATTTCTATTCATCACACAGAATGATTGGCTAGGTTTTTAATTGATCTTGCATGCCTTTTGCTTGTAAAAAAAATTATGTGCTACAAGAATAAGGCACTCTGACCCATACAAAAAACAAAAGATGAGAAGATAAAAGAGACTTTGAGAGAGATGAACTGTGGGAAAACATCAGTTTGCCATCCAACTTGAATTGTGCTAAATAAGGAACATTGCTTATGTTATCCAAAGGGTACTAACAAGGATCTATGTCTATTGATAAGAATATTAAATAGTATTACTTAGCTAACACCAACTTCACTAAGACCTATCCATCTATTTTAGCATCTACAGCAGACTTGAAATGAACACTTTATGTGTAATTTCTAGGTATAATAACTACTTTACCACAGCCAGACTTTATGACTCTTTCAGAGATGTCCATGGTTGTCTATGTTATATTAAAACAGTGCAGTTTATGTCGACTATTTGTCATGGTTCTACCCTATCCCGGTATAGTCATGACATAACCAGAGTATGCTGCTCACCTTCCCAGAGGATTTCCGCAGCTCCTCTTGAATCTGCAGCAGTCGTGTTTTTTACAGCGGGCTGTGTTGGCCTCAGGCTGCTGCAGTGTGCAGGATGCAGAATGCAGTATGATTCAATCCAAAGCAGGGGGCAGTAGAGACAACTTCAGCTGGATTGAAAAAAATAATTCAAAAGCAGCATGCTTCAGAGTCCAAAAAGATGCTCGGCCTATGTCTAAAACCAGCTACCAAAGCATCCTTCTGCTGCCCTGACATTATTGTTCCCCTGCCTGCAGTCACACCCAGTGATTTGTAAATTGTTTTATTGTGTCACACAAAAAGGGTATGTGTCAAAGTCAAGTGTTCAGGTGCCAAGCTGAAGTTGACAATAAATTAATTATAATTGACGTCTTGTCGTGACCTAATCTAATGTGCCTCGAGTGAGCACGATGTTTGGCCCGTGGCACTGAGAGACAATCACATCTCCAGCAAATCCTGCTTGCAGAAACCCAAATAGGCCTAGACCTTGTGTCAATTATCGAGGGAATGCAAACTAAGTTAAGCGGTAACATATTAAGAGGGTTCTATTAATCTTAGGAAAGGATCGTCATGAAAATAAGCCAGAGGGCATACATGATTGAAACATCCTCTAAACACTCAGTCGTAAAGCTTTTGGGTCTCGAATGAGCTATAAAACACTTGTAAAGGAGACCCGAATATTTCATGTATTTGAGTTTCTTTGCAAACTTTTTCTTAAGGTGACGGGTTGAATTGATCTATCTGATGTGTAACATACAGCTGGAATCCAACAGAAACTGTGTTTCCACATAACTGTCAAATCTGAAGCAAAGTAGAATAAAACAAAAAGTTCTAGATGCTTTAAAAGAATTAGAAAGACGTACATTCAGATGACGCACATTGGCAACAAACACACTCCAAATGATGAAAAGTTACAGAAGGAAGATGCATACATAAAGAAAAATGCTTTGTTTTGATACTGTTTTCAGGATTTTGTTTATATAATCATTTAGAATGACGTCAGCCTGTTGGACATAGGTTTCCTCCTCTTGATGTGGAAACAACTCATGAGTAACTGCTGCAGATCATAAAGTACCAATCTGATGTTTCAATGAGATGTTTAATAGCCACCGGAAACAAGCTCCACTTCCAGGAAATTAAACAACTGCTGCATTTCCCCACTTTGCCCTGCAGAGAAAGACAGCTTACATTTTCGTATGATGTTACACTGCCCATGCCCATCTGTACATGTCATGATGATATTTATATTTGATATTTTTCAATGTCTACTTGTGTTACCTTTAAAAAAAACATGGTCAAGACCTCTCTCACTGTGATTTGATTAGAAATTGACTACATTTCCACTGTAATAAAACTGAGACAGATCTTATTGTACTCCTACAGTAAAAAGTTGAAGAGCTCCATATCCAGGTGTATATTAGCTAATTTTAAGAAGCAAACCCCAACCATGCGATAATATTGTCTTTCTATACCTTTGCATTACACAATCTTGTCAGTTTTGTGACACTTATACATAGATGTTAAGTTTACTTAAACTAGTAAATCACATGACAATGATACATCCAATCATACATGTAGATGATACTACTTAATTCATTCAGTTAGTTTCTTAAATTTGTGCAGCAAATTGGCTGGGTAAAGCCGGAAATTCCAAAGTAATTTTTAATGCAAATGGGAAAATTTAAGAGGAGTGGTTGTTCATCTTTTTCCTAGTCATGATGGGTCAGTGCAAAAGGAAGAATAATGGATGATATATGATGATATATTTTTAATCTAGTCACTGACCTTTTCTCTATATTGACCTTGTAATACAAGGCAACAGCTGAGGAAAACATAAGGTACTAAGCTAAATAAATGCACAGAGTACTGGAAAGGGAAGATATGGACTCTGTTAGATCGAGGTAGTATAGGGTTTTTAAAAAGAGATGAGGGACTAGAGAGGAGGCGTAAAAGGAGGCAAGGGAGGTGAACAAACACGGGAGAGGAGAATAAGGAGGGGCAGAGGGAGGGAGGAGTCACACGAGGGGTGCCTCACTGCAGTATTTCATCTGTTAGCGAGTCTCTGCATCTGCCTGTCTCCCTCGCCAGCCACAGAACTGCTGACTCAGCAGGAGCAGCAGTCTGTTTTCTGCACCACGTATCTGTGCACAAATGATGGCAAAAAAAAAGGCAGATATGTCTGCATCGCAGTGTGTGTGTGTGGGGTGCCGATCACTATGCAGAGCGGTCAGTCTTGCATGTGTGACATTGACATAGCGCAGTTAGCGTGGTTAGCACACTGCTGACGATGCACGCCTCGTGTTTGTGTGTCTGTGTGTGTGTGCGCTTGCGTCTGAGTGTGAGAGAGCGCTAGGCAGGTGCCACACAACATCCCATGTATACAACTTCACTGTGTGTGGGGACTATTGTATGAAAGTGTGTGTGTGTGTGACATATTTATAAATAGAGCGAGTGGGTAGAGATGTGGAAAGTGCAAGAGTGTGTGTGTCTTTTTGTGCATGTGTGTGAGGTGCAGAGAAAATCAGGCCTGTGGAGTGGTGCAGCAGCAGTGGGAAGGAAGCCAGAAACACTCGACTGCAGAGGAGAGATTGGTGCAGAGTCGCGTCGTGCACACACACAAACACACGCCTGCATGCTGAGAGCTGCGCACAGATTCTGTCTGGGGAGTGTAAGCCCATGCTGAGACCGAATGTTTCAGGGGGAGGGAAAACTTGTGCAACCTAAACAATAATGTCATTTTATACATTTCAAGACGCATTGTGCACAGTAACAATGTAATATTGTGCAAGTCTAAAGGACACAGTAGCATACTGAGTAGAAGTGATAGTGCAGTGAATTATAAGAATACATTCATTTAAAAGTAGTTCATTTTATTTTATTTATCGGGGGCGGGGAGAATAAATCTAGTGAAAAAAGTTGCACTTTCTTGCAAGTGGTACTCTTGAGAAGTTTCAGAGACATTGGGAAATCCTGTTTTCATCCTATGGTGGTTTAGATTCATATTTACATTTGTCTCCATGTAAGCTGGAAAACTTTTTTTTTCCTTTCAATTAAACATTTATTTAACCAGGATAAAAATATATTTGACATCAGAATTGTCTTTCAGGAGTTACAGGGGTGGGGGTGGGGAGGGTGTGGAGTGGCAAACCATTATCTTGCCCAGGATACCAAACTTTTGAGAGCTGACTGCCTAAAACAGTTCAGAGACCCAGTCTTCTTTTTCTTAGTGTGTTATATTTTCAGTAATTGTCTGGTTTGGACCCCTAAAATAATACCACAGATTATATCTGTTAGATGGCTCTAGATCAGAAGTGTCAGACATCCGTCCTTGAAAGTCGCTGCCCTGCAGGTTTGAGATGTTTTCCTGTTCCTACACACTTAATTCTGATTTGATAGATTTCCTCAGAGCATGTTTCAGCCAGAAACATGGAAAACCTGCAAGACAGCAGCCCTCCAGGACTAGATTATGACACCTGTACTTTAAATGAAGAACCACGCTTGTTGATAGAGGTAAAATGATTACTGTGATTTTCCACTTTGACAATCTAGCCACTTTAATTCATTGCAAAAGAGGCATTACATTCTGCAAAGCTCAAGATGGTGCTCAGAGGGCAGTCTTCTAAAACAGCTTCCCTTAACATGAACACAAGCTGCTTCAGCAGGATTTCACTTGCGGGAGTTGAAGCTGCAAGAATTCATTCATCTCTCAGAGCTGATTTAGATGGTACCCATGGCTGTACTGAATTTAACTCCAATTACTACCTTTCCTTACAACTTGGTTAAGCATTCATAAGGTTAACAACAACGTCATTTTGTATTGTGGTCGCACAATACCAATATTGTAACGTGAAATCAATTCATGTGATACAATGAAATAATCATTTTCCCAATCCAAGTGCCTTTATTTAAATGTTAAATTAAACAAGATTCCACTTCAACTACGCTGGTCTGAGATACCATACAATCCATAATTAGAAATCTAAGTCTGTGCAAAAAAAAAATTCTACCTTATTTTGTTCCTATTAATAACAGAAATAGAAATTGAGTCGAAAAAGTCTCATTGCTGGTGTACCGTTGCATTACCTGTGCTTATGTTTCATTTGCAGGTTGTTTAAGCATGGACGTCCTTGTTCCTAACTACATAAATGCACTAAATGGGACGACTGTGACAATCCCCTGCACATTCACGTCCTGCTATAAGATTGATCTTACCAAGTTTGCTATGAACTGGACCTACCAAGAGTCTACGAACGACACAGAGGAAATGGTAACTTAGCTGGACTCTGCTACACTCTCCCCGAAAATTCATTTTCAGGGTCTCAGTCACTTCTAAACAATTCCTCTCTCTTTCTGCAGTTTATGACTTATTACAGGAAAAGGGGAATGGTTCCTCTGCGTTCCGACCGCTTTGGAGAGAGGGTCATGTTTACTGGTAATTTGGACAAGAACGACCTGTCCATCACCCTGTCCGACGTGCAGCTGGACGATGAGGGGATTTACAACTGCTACGTCAGAAACCCCCCAGACCGCATCCAGGGTCACGGTGTCATTCAGCTCAATGTTGTGACAGAACGTAAGGTGTTAATTTTTTCATCAGTAAAAATAGAACCAATGACTGTAAAACATTTGCCTTGAATTGATGAAACACATGGCTCTTTTCTACTAGTACCTACTCATGACCATGGGACAAAAAACGACCTGCTGCACCTCGTTGTTTGTCCACTGCGTTGGTTAGACTGCATCCAGATACTCTGTTGACGTCCACAAATGAAATAGAAATCACACGTTTGTTGTTTTCGTATTTTTAAAATTGGACTGTTTGTGATGGAGTTGCTCATCATGGGATGGCCAATCAGTGGCCTGCAGTCTTTCCTCGATTGAGCTTGCTAGGAAACCCGGCTTAATAGGTGCTAAAATTTGAACTGGTAACAGATGCTAGCGCCTAATGGAAACATACTAAATTATATATATATATATAATTTGAGTCGAGCTGAGTCATGCTGAATAGGTAGCAGTGGAAAAGGGCCAGATTGTCTCACAGCTGCGTCCCCACAATCTAGGAACTGGAAAATTGTGCTCAGAAAAATGTTTAGCTTGAAACATTAATATTATGTTGCGAGAGTTTCACTCCTGCTGTGATTTCAGCAAATGGACTCAATTGTTTTGATGAAAAAATAAAAATATGTACTGTATTTAAAACATTTTAAACTTTTAATGTGTTTGTGTCTCCTGGTGCATGTGGACTGGTGATGAGTCAGCTTTTTATATATTAATGATGAGCAGGACGCTGAACATGGTCCCTAAGCGTCTCTCTGTTCACACACTTTCACACACACCACACAGGCTAACTCAGCAGCACTTTCCTTCTTTCCACTCTGTTTAATCAGCAGAGCTTTTAGCCAGAATTGCACTTGTCTCCATGCGTTGTCTACAAAATACTTAACCCTCTCCTCTCTCCTGTCCAGTTCCCCCTCCAAGAGATTCCACCATTGCAGTTGCTATTGGAGCATCAGTGGGTGGAGCATTAGCTCTGCTAATCCTCTCCATGGTGGTGGTGAAGTGTCTTCGCCGACAACGGAAACAAGAACCGAGTTCAGAGGAAAAGATGGAGGAGGAGGGGAAACTAGAAGCTGAAGCTGTAGCAGAAGAGGGTACCAAGTAAGAAATTTCCCCGTTTTAAAGCATTTGGTTAATAAAACACAAAATATTAAAAAGAAGACCTTGGACTGTGGAGCAGCTAGAATGTCTATCAGACAAAAACATTACTCTTCCTAAAGTTCAGAAGGTGTTCTCCGTAATTTCCAGATTCTTCTTCGTTTAAATTATCCATATCCGAAATAGTTAAATGTCTTAGTTCCAACATTTGATATGATCACTATATGTTATTGGGAATAATATATTGGTTTATGAGATTGTAAATCAATGCAGATTCATGATGATTTTAATAGCTTACTCAGCACCAACCGTTTTTGAAACGGGCGTCCTACAAAGATAATAGCAAAGGCAAAAACACAACAATTAAACCTGCCATTCTCTTGAAGGATAGTTGGTGCTGTTGGCAATATTTACTACCTCTCGTCTTTTTTTTTCCAATAGACAACCGTGACTGTAATGTTCAACTGAACCAGCCACTGGAACTCCGATTTTCAAAACCTCATTTGGTGAATACTCTTCCATGCCAACTGATCTTTAATTATTCACTTCATGATTCACTTCAAATAGTATCCATTTTCCTCAAACAAAAAAACCCTTTTAATTTTTTTTTATCACAGCAAATGTGCAGCTATTTCATTTCTATTAATTTGTTTCCTGGTTTTAAGGAAACAAAGAAGTCTGCAATGTCGTATTATAATGTGGTGGGACAAGTGATGTTTTTCGTGGCCTCCATCTGCTTCACAGCTATTGCAAACATGACATTAACAAACAAGCCTAAAAACAGGTTCTCATTCATGATATTAGTTGTTAGAATAACATGCTCTTTTTCTTTCCCTTAAACATTTCCAACCGCTCTGATAATTAAATGACAATCCGATCCTTAGAAACGGGTGAAACAACTCAAATGAACAGAATAGTCTTTTTCATAAACTTGTTACATAGAGAGTTATTTAGCATTAAAATGGAAGCAAAGAACAGAATCAGAGCTCAACAAAGGTAAGACTGCACATGTGGAAGATATGACAGTAAAATGACAAATCTGCCTTTCTCCTTTCTTTCAGAGATCCACACCATCTTCCTAAAAGTCTGGAGTAACTCCAGCTTGAATAATCATCCACAGATGTAACCATCCTCTCCTTTGCATGTGTGTCTGTCTGTTGCTCTCAAGTGAGATTTTTTGGTGTGTATGTGAACTGAATGTGTCTGTGTGTGGGTGGACATGTGAGTTTTTCTGTAAAACAAGACAGGAGTTTAGAGGCTGCATTCCTTTATTTAGTGCTCTAAATCACTGTCAATAACATTAGGTGTATTTGTAGTAATACTTAATGCCATTTACATTGCACACATCTCAACAGGATAGGGCTGGGTGGTATGAACTGAAAATCTCCATTGTATATTTTGAATATAGGAATTTTGAATACGGGCAGGGGAAAAGTAATATTTTTTATTTTGTTGTTTCGATATACGTGATTTTAAATTTAGTCAGAAGTTTTATGGAAAAGAAGTCTATTAATTACCTAAATCTTAGTTTAAATAAACGTAACAATATCTGTGGAGGCAGAGTTTATGGGGTACAATTTTAACAACCGTAGCAAAAATTTTTAAATAGGTTGGGTTTTCATACTATAAATCCAGCAATTCTTACATTGCCTCAAAGCCATGTCCTGTAACTGCCTGCATATCCTGACACACATGTGGTCAGTACAAGTTTTATGTGTCTCTCCACAGCTGGATTTCATTGTCACTAGAATATGGTCGGTCAGCGGCTCGGCCATATGTTGTTTACACTATTCAATAATGTTTAGCTGTGTCTCTTGTCATAGAAGATTCTTGTACATTCCATACAGTTGTGGAGTTTTTACGACACAGTTACCCTGTTTGTTACATACTGTGGTTCGTCACAGTGGGGAAAAGCACAAATGCAGCTAATAACAGTAACCAAGGTTCTATGGTCCAAGGTTTTTTTTATTTTTTTATTATGTCACGTCAGTGTTTTTGTTTTAATTTTATATGTCTATTTTGTAAAGTTGACTACGCCATAAATAATCCCGATTGGTGCACAAAAAGTGTACAGCAATTTCACAGGACTCCAGGTCTTACTTTAAAGTTGGACAGGTTATACTTGCATAACATTTATGATGACAGTGGTACCTCAAAAGAATGATTAATAGTTCCGTCTCATTACAGTCACAGTTTGATACTACTCATTAATTGAGCCGTTTGATCCCTTTTCCAGTTTACATACATAGATGGAAGTTAGTTATTTAATTATATCTTATGCGAATGACACTTTGTAGACAAAAGCTTCAAGGCACTTTGCTCTTTCCACTCGGTGGGTGATCATCTTACATGTTATTTGGCCAAATTCCCTAGGCAGATGATTTCTGTATGTTTTGAAAAAGGTTCAATTTAGTCAGATTACACTTTGGCCCTAAAATCAAGATTTGGTTAAAGTAGAGTGTTCCAAAATATTACATAAATGGGTGTAAATTGACTGTCTTGATTAGCCCTTTTTTTTTATCTGACAAAATAAACTGACACAAATTACATTACAAATATCAAATAAACATGCATAAAGATTCAACTTTACATAATTTGCTAAAGACCAAAACTCCTTTGAGTCAGTTAAGTGTGGAAATGCAGGAGTGATTTGATAATGGACTACAATGTCTTTTCATGCTAAATTTTTAGAAGCTTGAAATAATTCTCTTTATATTACATAGATATAATTGCTGATCTCGAGCATCTAAAACATTTCAGATTCTTATTACCATGATGTTTTGTTATCTAATTTTAAGTTTGTTTCAGAGTACTATATGAGATCCCCCCTCAACAACTAAGTCAAATTTCTATATTTATATAGCACAATAAACCATCCACCCTATTTGTTCTTCTTCCCCAGCTGATTTTGTTTAAAGAAATTGCATGTGACAGTGCCTCACGGAAAATATAAATTAGTATTTTGCAGCTCAGTTTCTATTGTTTTAGGTAAACATACTATTTTACCATTTAAACATGTAATGTTTAAACGGGAAAATAAGAAAAAAAATTTCAGCATTGAATGTTCCAAGTTGAATTAACAAAGCAAATGACACATTCAGAGATCAAGCTGCTTTTCTTTAACTATTTGAAGATATTTGTCTGTCAAAAAACATATCAGTCATTAGCCTATCAAAAAGGAAGTCTCATTGCATCTACAATCATATATTGCATGTAAATATCAACATATTTCAACTTTAATGGTAGACTAACGTCATAAGGCAGAAACATATCACACACTGATCTGACCTATACGATGATAAACTATACTTTACAAACTCAATATTTTATTAATTATAATAATAACTTAAAAGGCATTGTATGATGTAAAGAAAAATTGTACTATAAAAAACCCGAAAAAAAGGATACGTTTTTTCTGGAAACATCAGTGTGAGTCACAGCATGAGGTGATGCCATTAAACATAGTAAGACGTTATTTTGTGACACTTGTGTTTACATACACATTCTGTATAATTTCAGAAGGATTTTGTTGTCTTTGTTATGCCTCCTGCAAACCAGTAATTATTTTTAAAAAGTTAATTATTTTATAAGAGGAGAAAACCCATTTCCTTTAAACTCTGAGATGTGCTCAACTGGAATCATATATTAGAGATTAAAAACATGTATATACCGAAAATTACTGCGCCTTTATACATATACTTTTAAAAGTGTATGTAAAAAAAATAGAGTTGTATACAGTAGAATAAAAAAATCTAAACATTTCCAAAGTAATGCCTTTACCTCAACAGTTGTGTGTGAAACTGTAGATACTGACTTGCACATTGACACTCTAGCACTTGTTCTAGTACTATCGTAGTGGAGAGCATGAATCTAAAGAAAATAAGGAAAAATATATGACGTGAAAAAATATTAAGGTGTTTTGGAATGTGCGGTTGCTAGTAGTGTATCTAATCACTCATATGTTTGGAGCACTTTGAATGTTTAAACATGTCATGAAGTACTTTAAAATCTGTGTTGATTCAGCATTTTAGCTTTGTTGATGTCTGAATGTCTTTATGATGTTACCGTTTTATTGTGATAACACAACAACTCGTCAACAACGAGTTACATGAGTATTTGTAATACTAAAGGGTGGGTACTTGGCCTTGTTTATGTCTTTTTAAGAGAAGATGACAAAACTGTGTACTTGTTTCTGTTTAGGCCTACAAGGGTATAAGACCTTAGTTGGTTTTGTTTTGGGTTTTTTTGTATTGAAAATACTGTGTAATTGAAAAGAACATGTTTTTCATTGCAGTAGCACCTTCACATTAATGTCTCGCTTTGGTGATGAATAAAGCTCAAATCGTCATTGGAAACAATCAGCAAGTGAAGCACCACAAAAAAAACAACCAATTCTGCCACATTTCATGTGACACTATTCATGCAATCATGCATGTTTAAGTTTTGGGATTTGTAGACTCAATAGGTGGTGGCAGTTTAACATGTGGGGTAAAGTCAGTACAGTTGCTAGAGAAACATAAGGCGAAACATAACATCATATACTTCCCCTTACTTCTGAGGTAGAAATAAGTTAACAACAGAGGGGATAATAGCTAAACGTAAGGCTGATATGTCATTGTGTGCTTCCATTTATGTATTTGCTCTGCAAAGCTTCTTTTGCATCTCTATAAATATTAGCTGTCACAAAACTAATGCTTGCACTTTGCTGTTTATGAACTAGCAGCAGTCATTACATTATGTATTTTAAATAAAAGTCTACAAAAAAAAACAGCATTTTCTTTTCATTTACTGCATGAAACCATCGGCAATATGTGCATGTGCATAAGTTATCATGTAGAGTGGACCTGAAAACTGTCCATTACACAGTGGTCTGAGACATACCTACATACCACGAGCACATTACCAGGATAATAACCAATAAACTACTTTCAATTTATGATATTAAACAAAGTGAGGCAGATGAAGGACTAGATGAAGACTGCCCTTTATGTTCTTTGGGGATTTAGGAAACTCACTCCTTGTTCCTCTCCTTCACTGCATGCTATGTTAGCTTGGATGGCTCCAAAGACCAAATACATGCTCTTTTTCATCATTATGACATACGACAGATACAGTTTGTGTTTAACTTACAGTATATTGGCACTAACTAGTGCCAAAAAGATACAGCTATGTTCCCATCTCATTTGAAAGACCAACCTGCCACTGCTCCACTGAGAATAACTCAGAGGTGACTTTGTGAATGTAGAGTATGTATTTTCAGCTATTGCAGCTAAACAGGATTCCTTTGTGTATCCAAACTGAATCATAAAAAAATCAAAGAAAGAAAAAATCCTGCACTAAACAGCACTAAGTAGGAGGCCATCTTCTGGTGTGAAATTGTGAACAGAAATTGAATTTTCAAAACCTTATGTGAATGTGAAGGTTTCACACCAAAATAGTTCATGCTTTGCATCCTGTCTGGCTTCGATATGTCATTGTCTGTGAGGAAAGTGATACGTTTTCTCCCTTTTTGGGATTTCCTGTTCTGTTTTGCATCTGTTTTGTTACTTGCAAAAAAGTAGCCTTTGTGAAAATCTGCTAGAGCGCTGCCTACTGTGTGGAATTGTCTGTTAAAAAAACTGCGACATTCCAAAGTACTAAGTAGTAGTCCTAAGCCATCCTTTCTGTATAACAGCAAAACATTTACTTCTACTGCATGTCAAAAAGGCTGCAACATAGTATAGATACACTATTCATGATCAATCTCACAGCTGAGCATTTGCACCAGTGCAGCTCTAAGGGCAGGTGTGCCTTTCAAAGTCCAGTTTAGCAGAAAGGCAGTAAAATATCTTTTTTTTCCCCCTCAACACCAAATTGTAATACTTTTTGGGGTTCTGTTCCCCACAAAGAGGCCACAGCAAAGATATCAGCTGGACCCGGTGAGGTGGTGAAAACTTAATTTGGTTCAAATTACAATAAAAGATGTATATCACCACAACATTAAATAACAATATTAGTCATGAAATAAAAGTTTACATTTAATAACAGCTTACTTAGTCGTGTTGTGAGGTCAGTGAAACAAGATTTAACAACAGGTAAAGTACAAGAAGGGGACAACTAAATACAAAATTTACAATTCAATATTAGATTGCTGAGAGATGAACTTGGAGCAATACAGTAATGTCAGTAATATTTATGCTTTTTCCAACCAAAGCTACCCTCTTTTCGAACCATTCGAAACTAAAGCACTATATAATGTTGTGTCATTATAAACCCCCTCATAAACAGGCTATGGTTGCATTGATGACACATGGTATGTTACACCTCCGCACAGTTATCTGGTACTGAAAAATTAAACGTGTTTGTATGCGTATGATTTATGATGTACTGCAGACCTGCTCTTATCATAACTCTTAACGGCACTCACCTTTTGATGGTTGGCGTTTTCCACTGACAAGCAGATGGATGGACAGATGTAGACAGAAAAAGGTGCACAAAGTGATGCAACACAAAGACAACCACTACAAAAAGCAAATAAAAAGATTTAGAAAAAGTTAAGCATGCCGCTACATTTTAAAAAAACACTAAAACAAAGACAAACTGACCCGTTCTGACAAGGAAAAAAAAAACAAATGAAAAGGAAAGGTAGAGAGAGGCCCACCCTACTTTTGCTCCTCCACTCAGATGTGTTCTGAAATGTGCTCACTCACCGGCTGGTGCAAAGAGAAATAGGGAGAGAGGAAGGGGGAGGGGATAGAACAGGTCCATATGTGAGGTGAGATGAAGGTTAATCAGCGAGGTGAAGTGGTGGTAGGGAGAAGATGGAGGTGTGGAAAGAGAAAGAAGGGGTTCAGGCTCTCAGAGTGAGTCGTTCTATTCGGACCAGTTCAGCTGTGTGGCTTCACTGCAGCATTTTACTGCCTTGGCCGTCCCAGAAACAGATCCTCCACTCCCTCCCTCCCTCCCTCCCTCCTTCCCTCCCTCTGCCTCTCATCCCACCTCCCTCTTTTGCCTCCTGTCCTCTCTTCTCCTCTTGCTCCTGTTACCCCCCACAATCTATCATGCCCCCCTCCTCTTATACCCATCCTCTCTTTCCTTGCCATGAACCTGCATTTGCTCTCACCTGTGTCCTTCTGTCATCATCCCCAATGTTCTCCTCTTCTCTCATCAGTGCAACATCCTCCTCCTTTCTTCTATAAACACACTCCAAGGTCACCCTGTCCAGAGACAGGTGTGTGTGTGTGTGTGCTTATGTGTGTGTGTGTGGATGTGCATATGTAAAGAGGCACGTGTTCATATATCACTAGAAACATGTATCCCACTCTAACTCTTTGTATGTGGAGTGTATGCTCTAACGTTGCTGTTAACTAATAGCTTACAGCACAATTTTTGCCTACGTGTGGCTTTTGCCGAAGGTACAGTCTGTTTCCCACCATTCATCACTACAACCCCACACACACTTAAACTAGGATATGACATCAAATTCCAGGAGATGGATTACCTGACAACACGTGGATGGGAAGGTCAGGCATCCATTTTAGCTGTTTGGATTATTAGGAAAAAAATCCAGAAAATGTTAAGTGGTAAGAGAAAATTTGTCTGATCCAAAATATTAATAAACTTCTTATAATATATCGATTTTTTCATAAATATCTATAGCCACAGAATAAGAAATTACCCTTTTTAAAAGAAAAAATAGAAACTCTGAAAAGTTTGACTTAAGTGTAGAAGAGGCAGCTAAATGTTGAAGAAAATCTTCCATGGATTGTTGTATAAGCATCCTAAATATAGAACAGAATAATGAAGACATGTACATTTAGATTATGACTAAAACAACAATTTACTCACTCATTTTCCATTCTTTCGTCATCATATTCATTCCATGGAGCTCAATAATTGATGACTCTTCTGCAATGCCAAAAAACACTTTTTTTCTTCCCAAGAACCCTACTCTTCAGAAAGTGCCCATAGCTAGAAAAGCAAAACCAGAGGGTGGGATTATATTCTTGTTGAGTTTTCATTACACGGTGGTGACCTGATATATGACATTCATATGATGTAAACATTCAAAGGTTTTGCCGATATTTCTTTAAAATCTGAAATTGTCAAATAATGAGCTTCAGTGATATTTCATTGTATGTTGAGATTTTATTTACTAAATCTCTTTAAAAAATAGTTTTTGTACATAGCACATAGCTGTGAAATATAGGAAGATGTACTCAGTATACAGTACTGGATCTCAGGTGCTTGATGTTGGAGAGGACACTGCTAATGTGTTTGTCAATTGGCGAGCAAGACATGAATCTTGCGAATGAGGTCAGGTTACACATTTGGGTTGTGCACTTGTGATTCTTCACTGCCAACAGACGGTTTGAAGGCTGAGCCGAGATTGATGAAAGGTACACATTGACTGTATTATGTCCTTGTGGTTATGTGTTATGTAGCATGGTGCGATGGAGGAAATACTGCCTCTCTATGTGAGTTCATCAAAGTCGTAATAAAAGCTGAATCTTTGGTAGAATGCAAAGCCTTCAGCACACATCGTCTTAGTTTTAATTTTTCTACTGTCACAACTGGTAATGATAATTTCTGTGAGCTGTGGAGGTACGATTTTCCGCCTTTTACTTAAAAAATTCAGTCATTCAAAAGTTACGAGTTCTTCGTTATTTGTTGGATCTGATGTTACAGATCATTTACATCTACATTTATGCATTTATCTGACGCTTTTCTCCAAAGCGACTTACAAGAAGAGAATTTAACATTAAACTACAACACCAGTTACACACCTACCTTACTTTGAGTGCAATATGCTAGAAGAGGATTTAAAATTGAGGATTGAACATTCATCTATAACATAGATTACACAAGTAACCATACATTGAGCGCTATATGCTTTCAGGACATAAATGCATAATGAGCTTTCAGGACAAGAGATACTCTCAGAAGAGCTGGGTGTTCAAGGATTTCTTGAAGGAGGAAAGAGAATCTGATGCCCTGATAGTGCTTGTGAGGTCGTTCCACCAGCGTGGAACCACAGATGAGAAGCCTCTACATTGACTTGTACAAGGCGGTGGCCGTGTTAGCTGGCGCTCCTCGGAAGAACAGAGTGGGTGAGCGGTGACATAGGGCTTTAAGAGGGTGTTGAGCTAGATGGGCACAGATCCATCAAACACTCTGTTGGCCAGCATCAGTGATTTTAATTTGATGCGAGCAGCTAAGGAAAGCCAATGGAGTTCAGTGAACAGGAGTGTGACATGTGCTCTCTCTGGCTGGTTATCAACCAAACGGGCCGCAGCGTTCTAGATCATCAGTAGTGGTCTCACAGCACAGGCTGTTAGGATGGCAGGCATTGCAGTAGTCGAGGCGGGAGACGACTAAGGCCTGTGTTAGAAGCTGTGACGCATGGTTGGTTATATATGGCCTAACCTTCCTGATTTTGAACAGAGAGAAGCAGCAGCTTAAACCTATTGTGTAAGCAGCTTGGACCAATCCTTTTAATTTCCAAATAACATGACCTGGAGTGTATGGTTGTGGCTATCTTTTAGGAGGAAAACCCTTTTCACCTGAATCAAAGACTTTTTCTTTGAACTATAGCTAAGTATTTTTCACTTCTAAACTTAATCAAGTGATGCTTTTCCATCCATCCATGTTCTTTCACTTATCTGAGGTCCGCTCACGGAAGAGGTTCAGGAGGGAAACCCACACATGCCTCTCCCCAGCTCCTCTTGGAGGATCCCAAGGTGTTTGGGGGCCTGACAGGATATATAATCCTTTTTTCTAGTTCTGGGTCTACCCCAGGGTCTTATCCCAGGAAAACCTCTAGAGGGAGGGAACCAGGAGGCATCATAACCAGATGCCTAAACCATCTCAATATACTCATCTTGCTGCAGAGGAGGAGTGGTCCTAGTCTCCCAGTGAAACCTGCCATCATCTGTGAACAAAACAACCAAATGCCTAATTTCCTCCACTGGAGATAGGGCCTCAACCCCAACAAATGTTCCACCTGGGGCAGGGCCTCAACCCTCGCCAATGTTCCACCTTTTTGCATTTAAGAACCAAGTAAAGTTTCTGCCTAAGCCCAAATTCATAGTATTGTGTTCCATTTATGTATAACTGGAGCAAACACCAATTTTGCTTATGCGAAGATAATAGCTGTCGAATGTTGAACTTTCTTTATGAATGCATGAATGACTGACACAGTGATAACAAATCCATGGATAATTCAAAATTAATCCTTTATTATATTGCACTGAATTGTAAATCAAATGCATCCAAACTATAAAAAGGTTTAAAAAAAGCTATTTAAAAAAAAAGTTTTGTAAAGGAGGACAAATCAGAGGCTGCCAATCCATTAGTGTGCCAACATAGCAGTAGCAGTAGAGGTATGAAATATGAGAGGCTTGAAAGCAGAGGCATGACTAAAGGGTTCATCAAAGATAGAGACTGCGTGGTTTGCTTGAGAGCAGCCAGCCCGTACCCCACTCTGAGACCATCTTAAGTGAGGCTGGTTCAGTCGTACTCTGCTGAGTGCATGGATGTGTCTAAATGCTCATGTGGCAGCTAACGTCACCCCCCACACACTCCCCATCATTCTTTTTCCTCATTCTTTTTCCTCTCTGCTCACCTCTACCTCTGCAGTACCTCACTCTGGCTCATTCCTGGCTGTGCCGGCTGAAGGAACGAACACTTTCTGCGTTACTGTCAGACTATTGGCTCTGCTCCAGCATCCCTCTCGTGTTCTCCTCCCCTCCAACAGCCTATGTCCCCCCCCCTTACGGGGATTGTCTGCCAGCCTGTTTCCCCGGCTGCTGCTGTTGGAGCAGTGGAGCTGCTTGACACTGCGATTCAACGCCGCGCTGCCTCGCTTCTCCTCTCAGCCTTCTGCTTCACACTCTGCTCTACGGGGTAATCATCAGCGAGTCTGCTCAAGCAGCGACAGAGGACAAGAAAGGAGGGAGGCAGAGAGACACAGACTCATCACCCAAGTGCTGCATTGTCCTGTCGGTCTTTCCCTCTCCTTTTGTTGGCTACATAGCAGTGTTGGAGAACAAGAGGACAGAGGGGAGCTCTCCTCTAGGGTTTTCTACGGCTGTTCATTCCTGGGACAGAGTGCAGGGGAGGAGAGAGGAGGGAGGGACTGAGAACAGGACTTCATACTCTGCCTTCAGCGGCACAGCTCAGTGTCCCACCTTGCTACAGAGGCACATAAGTCAAACATTCAACCTGTCACTGGCAGAGAGGGAGACAGACTGAACGTTCTGTACATTCAGAGGGACAGACAGACAGCTGGGGTAGGTGTCATGGCGTCAGTGGACGGTACCGGTTCGAGTGTCTGTGGTCGGCTGAGATCAGGGGATCTACTTCATACTGGTCTGGCAGTTACACTCCTTCTCGGTGAGTTACACCCCCGTCTATACCATTAGGTGTCACATTGTTCCTCTTTTTCACAACCCATCCTCACACTAGGACATCGTGTTTCTGTGTCTCTATGAAATGGGCACAAGCCAACTTACTATTTTGTTGAGGTAATCCCTCTAATCATTTGTCAATTTAAACTAGTTCGTTTGACATCCAACCATTCATTTTTTATGTTTGTAATTAAAGGGGAATTTCCACTGCTGTTACACTTACACTGCAGCCTTTACCATTATTATTATTCTATAGTAACATCTGCAGTCCTGCAGCCTTTGTTTTTATTCTCATAAATAAGGAATCTTTCCACACCCATAAATTAAATGCAAGGTGCTGTCCTGGGTCATGTTTACTTGTTGCTGTTCTGAGGTCTTCAAGGTCAATAAGAGCCAACTTTTAGTTACTATGAATTTGGATATGCTGTATGTCTGGGTGCTGGGTTAGATAAACGATGCTCCCTACATAAACTTACAGCAGCAAGGGGGGCTTTTCAAGGGACGTATAAAAAACACACAGCAGGGAAATAATGAAAACTTTTCATTTTCAGAACACCAAAGAGTCTATTGACATATATGTAAATTAGAAATTGCCATTGTTGTGTAACTGGTTGTGATGCAGAGGTGATCTCTGTTTTTGCTCTTACCTTTCCTGATTTTGGTGTAGTGCCCAACAGTGCCCCCATATCCCGACAATTTCTCCTTTTTCTCAGTTGTTTTGACATATTAACACCATTACTGTCCTGAAATGTCTCTAAGAGTGAGGAAATGGTAATGCAAATCTGCAAATTATGCAGCATTGTTCACTTATCACAATCCCAGGGGGTGCTGTGGGTTTGGTTTGGAGACTATTGCTTTTATGTTGCAATATGCAAGAGTTGCGTTTTGTAGTTTTCATAATATGAAACCATTTAAAATTAATGTAACACTGGCTGTTATTAAGAACCATCCATCAAGAGTGATTAGAAGACAACAGTATATGAGAAATTGGGACTGATGGGCTGATTGTCAACCAAAATTGAAGTTGATCAGTTTTGAGATGACATGTAACTTACATTTATTTATGGCAACTGAGATGGTTATACTTCCAAAAACACAATCACATAACAGATCATAAAATATGTACATTCCTCCACAGACATATGTATAATGATTTCTCCATAAGGGCTTCAGCTTTATTTTCTACATCCTCTACAACAAAACAACCCCAGCTACCGTTGGGGCCTCTGATGAATTTGTAACACATTGAGTATGTGATGATGCGAATGGTACTCTTCGCTCACAGTCTTTGTTGATGTCTGCATCCCACAAGGGAGATAGTTTAAACCTTCTTCTTTATTTTCAATTTTTCTACATGCTAATAGTTTCTGTTTTGAAGTTAAAAGTAAATGGTTTTAGAGACAATTCGTGTATAGTTTGATGTAAATATATGGAGTTAAACACACTGGTCAAAGTTTCAATGAAACTCAGTGGAAGTCAGATGTGATATGAACTTATGTAAAACTCTGGCAAAGAATCAACTGGATGTGTGGACAAACATTAATATTTTATCATATTTTGGTGCTACTGGGCTCCAACTCATGCTATACCGTGAAATGAATGAAAAAACCTTCATTTGTCAAAGAATGTTATTTTCTATCATTCAGATTTTATTGAAATGCTTAGATAAACCCCCTTAAATTGGATAAGTGTGACGGGTTGTTCATTTCTGTGTGTACCTGTGATGGACTGGCGACTTATCCAGGGTGTACCAACGCCTATTGCCCTACACCCCCAAGCAACCCTACTAGGAATAAACAATAGAACAAATGGATGGATTTCCATGATTTTCATACCCAAATACTTCCAATGTAGTAAGGCTCTCCAGTTACTTAATAATTATCAATAGTTTTCTATTCTACTTATTATCAAGAGGAATCACTGAATATGTTATCAGAAAGAAACACATAAGAACTGTGCAACAAAAATAGAAAAAAAAAAGCCCAGCTGCACAGCAGTCAGGTTGTAACACAAAGGTTATCAGTATCACCTGTAGTTGTCTTTCAATGTGATGATGATGTTGTTTGGTTCATAATATTACAACACTTAACATGTCCATACATTGCCTAATTACAGCAGCATTAGGGATTAGGTTATCTCACGCCTGAATGCAATACTCAGACCCTCTGTCACTCAAATCCTTAACAGCATCTTACTTTGTATGTCCCTTTCATCAGTATTGTTTCTCTGACTGTGTGATCCCATATGTAACTTCCTGCATACTGTACTTCCCCCATTGCCTTAATTTCTGCTCACCCAGCTCTTCCAGTTTTCCATCACTCCACTCTCTCTCTCTCTCTCTCTCGCTCGTTTAGGGAGATACAGAGGTAATAGTGTCCTCTGTCTGTCTCTGTGGGTTCAATCTGAAATACATTAACCCCTTAGTCTCTGGCCTACTTAAAGAAAAATTGGAAAAAAAATCACCTTGGCAATCAACCAAGGACACACACACTCACACACACATTTCCTACCATCAGTGATTCAGATATTGATGCTTCCCAACTGGGACAAGGAGATACTAGATAGTGGAGCTAAAAATATCATACATTCCAGTCTATTACTCATGTACACACATTCACACAAATGTATGTATCTGCTGTTTGCACAGATATGACCGCATAGACATACGATGCCACATAATGTAGAACAGAACACATAATGACCACATGCAGGTGGTATGAGTATGTGAATCTGAGGGTGCTGCAAGGACAATGTTCTAACACAGGAGAAGAGCACAGAGAGGAGAAATGACATGAAGAGAAATGTGATAGTAGTGAGGTGTTTTACGAGTGAGGTGTGACTTCCAGGAACAAGAAGGGAGATTCAGAAATGTAAACATAAGGATATTCACTTGATGACAAACATGCAATTTGACCAGGTATTTTGGTTTGCATTCTCACTTGTTTTAACCCCTTCAGTAATATGTTCAAATGGATTAAAGGAATGGTTAAAAGTGCTGCCTGGTGGTGTGGTAGATAGCGTTACAGCAGGAGGGTTCTCAGTTTAACCGGAGGCCTTTCTGTGTGGAGTTTGCGGCAATGCCTGGGTTCTCTCCAAGTATTCAAAAACATGCATGTTATGTGAACTGAAGACTCCAAATTGCACGTAGGAGTGACTGTGAGTGTGTGTGTGGTTGTGTGTCTCTGTGTAAACTGGCGACCTGTCCAGGGTGTAGCCTGACTTTCGGCATATGTCAGCTAAGATGGTGCAGACTAAACAATTCAAAATCCAAACCAGCAGCTGACCCAGATTATAGTTACATAACTGTTACCCATGTTATCCCTGTTGAGCCAGGACTGATGCCCCTTTGTCCTGCATGGAGGCACCAATGATAGGATTCTGAGCCAGATTCTGTGAAAGTTGCTTTAACCAAGTAATAATGATGGACTGTAATTTGTGTTGTGAATCATACTCAGCCAAAAGCTTTTAATAGCCAACTTTAAAGGATAATCGTTGAATTTTTTAAATGGCCGATGCTAATGTGATCAGTTATAAAAACAAGTTCGTTGAAATCTTTTACAGACACGCATTCATGTACAATAATTATGTCCAAGTGCAATGTGATCCTGTGTGGGTCAGTGTCGATGACAGAGTTTATAAATAGAACTGAAGTGTCTGAGAGACATCAGAGCAACAATCTGAAAACCAGCTGTCATTGCTAAACCAGAATCTAGCAATCTAGTAAGACCCAAATGGTATTAATGACAGGCTCTCCATTTTAGAATGCTTTGCTCTATGCTGCAATATCAGACAACAACAGTTTTCTGTGCACTGGTTTGAGTTTTTCTGTCAATCAATGTCGATTAGTTCAATACATAGAATTTTGTTGTTCCAAACTGTATTTTGATCATTTACATTGACTGATTTTCTGTTATTTACTTTGTTTCTATCCTTTCTACTCTCATTATTCAGGAGTGTGGAGTGTTGGGGGTCTGGAGGTTTCAACAGGTAAAGTGTCTTCAATAGAAGCAATGAATGGCTCCACAGTTCTACTGCCCTGCACTTATGCTTCTTGTATTGGCATCAAAAACCTCTACTTCAACTGGAAATATAATGATAACGGAACCCACCTGAAGGTATGAACACACAGGCATGAGTTACAAAACACACAAAACTGAACATAATGACTACACAATAGGCTAACTGCAGAAGGATAAATGCCTTATAAAACGGATTTCCCCAGGTAATCTACTTCGATTCAACTATTTTACTGGGTTTCCACCGTGTGCTAGAACCTGGTCAGAGTTACTTTCTTAGCACTTACTTGCAAAGTAAGCACAGCTGTGTTGCGTTTTTGTCTGAAATCAAGGAACTCTTGGGGCATTTTGACCTCACACATATAGAGGTGGGACTCACTTTTAAGAGAAAAATTTTAAACAAAGTTGAGGCATCAGAGCATTAGAGAAAAGGGCCAAATGTGTTCCCTTGAGACAATGACTTTTGGCTCAACGATGGGGCATATTAGCTTAATGATAACAAAGCATAAAAAAGAAAAGGCTGAAATAACAGCACAAGTTTAAATGGAATGTATACTGTTGCAGTTCGACAAAAATGTTGAATTCAGGGCACAAAGAACATAACTTTCTCATCAAAACCCCCATTCTTCATTATTCTACAAAAAACTGCAACTATTTCAACAGTTTTGACCGTTATCTTTCCCAGAAATACAGCTGGAATGCTTTTTTTTCTTCTGTTTTTGGCACAAATGATAATTCCCTCTCTTGTCCTCCAACTCTTGCACATAAGTATGTCTCCCTTTCCGGGGTAGCCGAGTTGGGTACACTTAGTGAAACAACAGCCCCCTCTGTTGGAGAGACCAAAGCTCCAAAAAGAGAATTGAACATGGTCAAAACAAAGTTTGATTAACATGAAAGTTCAAATTCAAACAATAAGTTCAAATAACAATAGGACTACAGACGTTTTGATCACATCCCCATATAAGTATAATGGAGATAATATACATTTGTGGAAGTTAACTCTTAGACGTTGATAATAAAGACAAACAAAACCAACTAGTTCCCATGCCATTTATGGATGGATGGTCTCTTTTTGCAGAGGCGAACAACTGAAACTTTTTACAGAGCAAAACTACTTTACAACTCCCTCCTCGTTACCCATGGCAGCTCGGGTGTGAGGGGAACATGCATCGCTGGCATATGCAATATTTTTATACATGGTAATGAAAAAACTAAATACAGGTTCAGGTAAAATGAACATGAATGTAAAAATGAGAAAAATAAGAACTTTTGTTATCCTGACCAGTCGTGGTGCTGCTGCCACATTAATCCGTGTGCTCAGTGGCCTTGTCCATATTCGTTTCAGTACAGGCAGAATGCAACTTTTCTGTAAGAGAATAACAATGAGAGTGACTTCCCAAAGATAGCCCAATGACTGTGAGAAGTCTCATTAGTTAAGCCATCCCAGGATGGCTTTGCCAACCCACTAAATGTTGTAAACTTTCCCATCATATTACTAAGAACGAGACATGCCATAGTCTTGGCATTATCAGACTGCTACTTTTACAGAGTTGAATTCTTTCAGCTTACCTGGGAAAATGGGGAGAATAATCACGTTTCAAAAGCGATGAATCACAGACCGCCTTAACGAGGCTCAGAACAAAACTCAGAACACCAAACAGAACACCTCTTTAACAATGAATAAATATCTGGATTTGCAAGATCATGAGTTTGAATTGTTTTTAGTCTTGCAACAGAAATACTGTTGGAATACAGAAATGTACTCCCCTTATCTCAATAACAAATACTTGTATTTTTCTAACTTGTGACACAGTTATGTGAAGCAGAGATTCCTACAGAGGCTGTGGAGCCAAAGGTCCATGTTTTCCACGATCGAGTAGAATTTGTCGGATCGGCAAAGAAAAACAACATATCCATCTTGCTGTGGAACATAACTTTTGAGGATGAAGGAGAGTACATCTGTTTTGCCAGGAATCCAAAAGAGAAGAATCGTAACCACAGTGCTATCTTCACTCTCATAGTGGTCGACCAAAGTACGTGACAGATGTGTTGACTTGCCTACATCTGGGGCCAGATGCGTAAAGGAAATAAAAGAGTATAGAAAATGGATGGATGATTAATTAGAAACAATCAATTAGGGGTAGGACTCAACAAAAAAAATAATAATGAAAGTGTAAAGTGGGATTGTGCATATTTATACCAATTTTACAATGATAATGATATATGCAGTAATAGCATTATGAATTTACAAAAACTAATCTGTATTTCTAAACACGCAAAGAGAAAATTCATTCTGCAGATTTATGCAACTTGTCCTCATATTGTAAAAGTACCGCCATTAAGACTTTTTCTGAAGATATGTTCTGTATTAATGACTTGACTTCTCCCAACACAACAACTCTCTTTGTCTCTTTTTGCTAGTGAAGGAAGTTGACAACACACTGACAGTCATTATAGTCTCAGCGCTTGGTGGAGTCATTGCCTTAGTTATCATTGTCATGGTGATAAAGGCCTTAGTTGTACACTTCCTGGGAAAAGATGACGAGAAGAAGTAAGTATGTCACTGACTACAGAAGAAAGATTGCATTGATGGATTGGATTGGATTCCATTGCGCTGAATTCTTATCAGAAAATGAACAGTAAACAACTCTTTGCTTTAAACATCTTTCTCACAAATGAAGTACTACTTAAAACAGTAAAATCTTCATAATTGATCTTTTTTCATGCATTGCAAAATGTTGTGAGAGCCATGATCCATCATAGCTCAAAACTCTATTTTTTTTAGATTACATTTGATTATGCAAAGTGGCATTTCGCACTACTATTTTTGACCAGATTGTAAGCCAGAGGAAAAAAGTAGTCATCCCAGTGAAATTAAAACTATTGACACCTATGTTTAAAGAGCCTCTTCTACTACCAGGCACATAAATATTTCCACTTGCACAACTTCATTCACATGAGAATTGATATATTTGCTGTTTCTATACCAATTTAACCCTCAGTTTCCATTCCTTGCAGTAAAGAATGCCTTGTGAGCTCATCAGGGAATGACAACACAGAAAATGGACTTTCAGGAGCCAAAGCTGACAACAAAGGGACACCAAAGGCTTAAGCAAAATGCAAAGTATGTCTGTATGTTTGTATATATGTTAGAATAATGTACATGCTCAGAGAAAAGCTCTTATCAGTGGACTGTTTTAGCGGCTAAATAATGCAACTTTTAAATGTATTTTAAATCATGCTTGAAATATGGGAATTGTGAAATGTGCCTGGGCTGGATTACTCTCTCACTAATGGAAGTCCATTTGTTACACAATGTGCAGCCAGTTCCAGACATTCTTTCAAAATTTGATTGTGTAAAAAAAAAGTGCAATATCTATACTCCCCTTTAGAATTGTCTTATCCAGTTATCAACCTTCAAAGCAAACAGCATTGTACCCATACCATAGCATATTCTATTTCTAATTCAAAAAGGCTTAAACGATATCCCATTTCAATAACTAAATTACAGCAGTTTTGGTTTTTGGAATTGAAAAATCATTCTAATGTGTTTCTATACTAAACTGTCAGACTATACTATCAAAAATATTTTTTAAAATCATAATATACACAAAACAGATGATAGATTGATATCCAAATGAATTGTCACATTCTACAGCACAAAACGGATGGGTTTCTAGGAACAGCTTAATGTGTTTGCCAAAGAAAAAATAATTCAAGGGTTAATTGTATAGAAAGTTATCTGATCCCTAACCTACAGTAAAAAACAGACTAAACTCTGAGGTGAACGCTTGAATGTCAGTGTGTTCAGCTGAGCTCATGTTAGACACAATTGTGGAGAGTTTAGGTCTCTAACACCTTTTGTAAATTATGAAAAAGACTGTTGGCAACTGAAGTGTGACTAATGGGCTTACCATAGGTCATAGAGGGATCCAGATCTGCACAGTTTTTATCATTTTGCTTTAGATAAACACACGTGCCTGTTCTGCTTCTGCTCCCCCTGCTGGTGGGAGGATAAAACCACTGAAAACATATGAAAAAAATAGACATAAATCCAACAGAATACCCTCACGATCATCAAAGACAATCCCCAGACTACCGAGCTCCATTTAGAAATGAATGAACTTAATTATGCTGCTTCTAACTAATAACAAATGCATTTTTAGCATGTGCGCATTTTGTATAACTTCATATGAGTATATGTTGCACCACAGTACAACATTTCTGTCTCATTTAATCCTTTGCAGCAGCCTGAAAAGCTGAGAACTCTGCTAATGCCCCAACCAAGATTGCAACAACTCTGTAGCCACTGTAGTCACATGTTTAAAGGAACATTTTAGAGCATTGGATTTCAGGGATTAGTCAGAGTAAAGTTGAGAAGCATGCACAGAGTACATTAAAGACAGCAACAGGATATTCTGTAATTGATGAAAGCAATATAGTGAATTTGTCCAAACAAACTGATTCAGTTTTGTCAAATTTCAAAGCTAAACGTTGACTCCAGTTGGCAGATTTCAACTATAAACAAGACAATAGGATCGACACAACAATGCAGAAGTATAGTGATTCATATCTATGATTGTGCCACAGACGAATGTGTGATATAAGCAGTTTCAGAGGTGAGGATGTAAAAGAATGTAAAGACTGTCAGGGAATATGTGCAGGAAAAAAAAGTCCAATAAAGTACTTTATTTTATTAGAAATAGTATATCTTATAAAATAGTTTTCTAAAATGAATGTGTGACTGTCCTACAAATTCTGTTGGTCACATGCATTATTTTATGTAGTATTAAATTACTTGTCTCAAACAATCCCATAGCACAGAGTAAGAAATTGGCCTGGAGTGTCCAACCAAAAAGGCCTTTATAGGCTCTAAACATTATCAAGATTATATGTGCTCAGCATGTGTTGGGTATAAATAAAAAAGTTGGGCACATTAATGCAAGACTCCACTTTGGCGAATTGGCAAATCAAACATTTCACACTTCTTTCAAAACTGGAAAAGTTAACACAGTGTGTATTTCACTGTGACCTAAATAAGAGAGGTGTTGAAATGCTTCCAGAAAACTTCAGCCAACATTATTTAATATATCATATCAGTATCAGTGTGAGGTACACAGCTACATAGTTGGCTTGAACAGCTGAAAGCCACATGCTAGCGAACAGAAGACGGATATATTCAGTATATCTGCACAAGGAGTACTATATGAAACCCAACTTTGATATAAGTAAACTCTTCTAGCTAATATTGTCTCACTTTATCAGAGTTAAAAGATCTTTCGAAAGAATATCACAGGAGTGTCCTTATCGTCTTCATACTTTTTTAGCCATGTTATACAAGTTAAAACAAGCAGTCTTGTTTTTTATTGTACTGTCCACTTCAACTGGGTGTTTAACAAGAGAAATGTGTCAAAATGGTTTTTGAAAGATGATTATTTTTTTTCATAATTGTTCACTTCTGTTAGTTAGCTGCTCTCTAAAACAGGAGTTCTTTGCCCCACTTGCTTTCAATGGAAGCAAAAAGACAGACATCGGATTATGCAAAAAACAGTTTTAAGGCACTTTATTGATTTGTCTGGACCGGCTGGCAACTCTGTCCGTTCAAGACACTTCTTATCGTACCAATGTATGTATCTACATCACAGAAAAATGTACCTCAGTTGGACTAATGCATAGATATTAGAGTCCTTTCTACATGGGAAACATTTGCGTTATGTAAGTTGACTGTGTTCCATTTGGCACAAGATTACTTTAGTAGTTTGAGGATCAATCAGCCGCTTCAAGATCAAGCTGCTGTGAATCGTAAAACTCTCTCATACAGTGGTCAACCTTATAGTTTCATGAGTTTGTGTTTTCACTGAATCCTGACGTGATTTCACAGTGTTCCTTTTGGAATCAAAAAGCACTTTTTACTTCACTTTACTTGCTGACTTGCAGCCCTCTGTCCTGTGCTCCTCGTCATAATAGTTCATTATATTTCTTATATTTTGAATTTTCAAACAATACTTTCTACCACCACCGTCAACTATATATAGACAAGCTAACTGAAACTTGAGGTCTGTTATTCCGTGTTTTTAGAAATCCTCGTTTGCGACAAAATGAGATTTCATTCAGTGAAAGAACACAATGTTTGTACAGTTCTGTTGTGGGTATTTAAATAGCCAATAACACTGTAACACATCTACAGTGTTAGGGGTCATTCACTCTCATCGTCATGCTGTAAAAATGTGAACGGTATGGATGTAGGGATGCACAATTCAAACAGGTGATCACAAACTATTTTTGGACCCTTCTTTGGCAAATCTTTTGCTAGAGAAGGTGCATAATCACATCCAAAGTCTTCCTGTTGGTTAAAGCAATATACCTTGTCACAAAAACAGTAGAAAGTTGAATGCAGGGGTTGTAATGCAGCACTCTCACAAAACCTTTTTATCTGGCCCCAAAGTTCCCATTGTGGTTCGTTCTTTTAATTTTTTTGTTTCTTGTGAGCCCTTATTTGACTTTTATGATCAGTAAGGTTAAGTCCCTTAACCCTAAAGAGAAATTGTTAATAATTTGTGAGCTTACTTGCTTATTGCGTCTGGAAAAAAGGAAAAGTGTGGGTTAAAAATTATGCCCTGAGCTAAATTCTAAGGAGAGAAAAGCCTCCTTGTTCAGTGCATGTATGTGAATTACATGCGCTGTTGGTGTGGACTCATGATCTGATGTCAATATACCAAGACATGACACCAACAAAATCCACCTTGTCTTTAACCTTCACAAAACAAGAAGGTTCTTGTCACATAATCTCTTGAATTGTCGAATCCCTTAGTCCAGGAAAGCTCTTTTCTAAAGCTCTGACTCTTTGGTCAGTGCAGTGATGACTGCAGGACAGAGTGTGTTCTCTGTACAGCGTCAGACGCTCCTCTGCAGTGGTGTAATGCAGCACAACAGATGCACAATGATTGCCACGTAGCAGTAAATCACTTCCTTTCACAGTGGATAATCTTTCGAGCGGTGCAAGCCAGTGAGGCGAGAAAATAAATCCAGCATTTTTGGTTTATAAGGATGACACACTGAAAGAAAAAGCATTGTATAACTAAAAAGAAATATTTTCTCTTTAGTGGCTGGATGGTAAAGGAAAGCAGATTCTCACTTCAACAGTGTACAACTTGCATAAAATTACATTTCCTGTTATTGCTTTGTATTGTGACATAACTCTGGTAATAACAATGCATGATCCCTGTGCCAGATTCAGGGGATTAAATAAGTGTTGCATCAGGCATATGTTTACAGGAAACCAGTTATCTAAACACGTATGTATTGGTTTAAATAAGTGTTGGTCCTTTGTCAAATAGCTGCCTGCTGACAGCTAATGGGGAGCGTTAACATTTTGTAGACAGTCTTAGTATAACTGTAACATTGTTGGTTATTATAACAAGGTGGTAAAAGTTCTGATGAGACACAAGTTAAGAGTTAGTGTTGCTCTTACTGCCAGAGCAGCTGAAACTCACACTGCCAATCCAAGAGTCTCATGTCTGCTGTTGTTACATCGGTAATACAGTGACACACAACTCACAAGGTATGCTAACACTACAAAAACATGTATTACTGTCAAACGCTGTATAAATGCAATGTTAACAAAAAAAAAGAAGACATCTCTCTGTGCTACTTCTGTATTTGTAGCAGGTGAAACTCAAACTGCCAAGCCAAGAGTCTGACATCTGCTCTTCGCCTCCCACATTCCACATCAGAGCTGCAACGATTAGTCACACACAGTCGATCGGTCAGTCACAACAAAACTGATAAACTGCCAACTGTTTTAATACATTTTAATCCTGTTTAATAATTTCACTGATTTTTTTTTTAATGGAAAAATGTGTTTTCGAATTGTGAGCATATTTTTTTTCCTGTTTTTTCTTCTTAATAAACAAGATGTTTAGTGATGTAGCCTTATTTTGTGAGACATTGTAACAAGCCTTTTTGACTGCTTTTGAACATTTTATAGACTCTATGATAATCTGATGGTGAAAGTCACTTGCAAATTTGCTGATAATTCAAACAATTGCTAGTGACAGCTCGCCTTCACACATATCCAACCACCGATCTAATCTGAGTCCATTTAAAAGAAAAAAAAACTCATTACAGTCCTGATACATTGGGACGAATAATACAATTAAATAGTAAAGGTTTACCATTTTATAAATAACATTCGGGACCAGTTAATAATAATTAAAGTATTGGCAGAAATATCAAACTACAACATATTTTGTTTACAGTTGTGAGCCGTTATGGCATTACAGGCCTTGCAAACTGCCTTGAACAACTCTTTAAATAAGAGTTCATCAGATTCCAGCTCAAGGCAAGCTAGCTATAGGTTTGAAGAACACGCATAGGCTCACTCTGGCCTCTGTACTTTTTTCTCACAGCAGTCTTGCATTTTAATGTAATCAAGAACATATTTCAGAAATATTTATGGTTGCAAAAGAGAGGTCTGTCTTATTGAAGACAAACACTTATATCTACACATTATTGTCATCAGTCTGAAGCCACACAATTTAAAGGAGTTTTTATTTTTTATTTTATTTGCACCACCATGGCTAGTTAACTAAAGACACACACGATCAAAACAGATCCACAACCCCTGTTTTCCTGGGTCAACTTTCCTGTGAATGTCCAGCTGTTTGTCTGTGTCTGTGACCATGCTGCTCATGCTCCCTTCATGACTATGCACCCCAAACTTTTGAGTTGTTAATAAGTATATAATGGAAATAAAATTGGTGACTGGATTTACCTGACAAGTGTCGTGTATCATTGTGTTTATGTCCGGCTTTTGAGAAGCATTGCGGAGCAGAAAACCTGAGTGAGTATAGACTTAGACTTAGACAGTACTTTATTGATCCCTTGGGAAGACTCCCTCAGGAAATTATGTATGTCAATAAATGTAATCAATATAAAAACTTGCGGGTAAAAACATCAATTCTGAGGTAAGAAAATTGTCCATCTTTAGTTGAAAGTTGCACTAACCAGTTTGCTCAAAATGAGCAAATTTCCACAGTTCCATGTGTGTATTTATGTTCAAAGCTGCAGCGAGAGTCAAAGATTGCAATAACAGAGCCAGTTTCTTTACTTCCCACACAACTTTTTAAATATTGAGAAGAAAATCACGCTTCACCATTTTAGTACTGGTGCTATGTGTGACTCAAAGAAACATATTATTACATTTAGTTCAGGGGCTTAGTATTTAGGAAACTTGACTGGCAATTTGTTAGAAAATGTATAGCAAAAACCAGGCAGAGAACTAGTACCAAGAAAACAAAACCTAGACACAAAAAATAACCTACAAGGCAGGGAAAAACTTAATAGGAAGAACAGGTTGCAACCAAAAAGGGACTGGGGCTGAGATACACCAAAAGAACTCAGAAGGAAAATGAAGAGTGAGTGACTTCAGCTGAGACTAACTGACAGCAGGTGAGTGCGGAGCAACAACTGAAAGATTTCGCTTAAATGCAAAACCATACATTACTGACTACGTGCATAAAAAAAAAATCACGTTTTGGGTTAAAGGCATACTTACAACTATCAAGAAAATGTATTGTAAGAACTAATTTCTCATTTTTGTTCTGTATGTTAGATTAACAATAACTCTGCCCTTAAAGAAATTGTTAACACTTTATGGTAGAGCTTATAGCTGGAATTTGTCCACCCTGAGTTATGCTGCCATAGGCCTAGGCTGCCGGGGGATTTCCCATGATGCACCGAGCCCCCCTCGCCTTTCTCTCTCTCCCTCTCAGTGCAACTTCATTCCATTAATGCATGTTACTAACTGGACTTTTTTCCTTTCCTGTAGTCGTGTGCTTTTTCATCCCTCTCCTCTCTCCTCCTATCATTTCCTGCAGGTGTGTTGCTCTTGGTGGTAATTGTTGGGCTTCTCTAAATAACTTCAGAGTAGGGTCTGACCTTCTCTGTTTGGAAAGTGCTGTGAGATGGCTTTTGTTGTAATTTGGCATTATATAAATTACATTAAATTGAATTTAAATGAACACTGATGTTTCTCACCATTCTTAAGG